CGGCGACGCAAGGATACTTTTTTGCGCTGCCTTGGTTCACGGATACAGGCTTCGTTTGATCTTCCAGTATGCTACCACTTTCGGGAATACCAATCACCTGGCCGTATGTGAGAAAATTATCGCACGTTATGGGCCTTGCGGTAATGATTATTGAACCGTCTGTGAGACGTTGGATGTTTTCGGGTGGGGAGGGACGGGCCTCAGATTGGGTTGAGACGGCATCGATAATTTTTTCCATTGTGTTCTTGGGGCCGCCTGGTCCTGGCTTTGCGGAGCTGGCCATTTTGAGGAACCTTGGAAACCAATTTTTTGAAGGGTTTTGAAAGGTCCCGTTTAGGGAGCTGTGGCGGTAGACTAGTAGTGATAGCTTGTGTGCGTTGTATGACTTGGATGCTAGTTTACGACCCCTAAAGTGGCTATCCGAGGAGTGAGGATATCGATACTTATACCTGCGGGTTCAAGATAAGTTAGTCTTGGTTGTTATGATATCGTTGATATCATATCAGACCTCCCTTCTAGGAATAGATTACCTGACTAAACCTCAAACCCGAAACCCGCTCCCAAGTGTGATATCAGGAAAACCCGAGGTAAGTGAGGTGGGCAGTGGTGGTGATGGCGTTTGTTCTTGGACGGGCAAATTCCCGGAAAATCCTTCAGCGCCATAATATCATACAATCCCAGTAAGTTACCCACCCTCCTCCCTCGCCAAAAAAACCCAAGCGCCACTATGCACACAACCTTAGTTACCGGCACATACCCTACCCAACCAGCACTCCCTGTCTCTAGAGTTGATATCGTACATTCCCGGTACCGTACACAACGTCGTATAATAATATTGTGATCTTGTACCCTCTATGCGTCTTTTGTTCTACAAAAACCCGGAGCAATTTGGAATGAAAATTATTTGTCGGCCAATACAAGTATATTTCCTCATAAATGATTAAAACCTCTTCCCTCGATATTTGTATCGCAAAGTTTATGCTATGCCAAGAATTATGAGAGCAGAATCACTCACAATATCGGAGGGATTTTCCCTGAAAAATAAAATAAAAAAATAAAAACGGTAAAGGTCTCCCATACCATCCAATTTTAAGTTTTATCCCTCCCACACCACCCATTCCTCCCATACCACTATTTTAACATAATATTATAATCTTAAGGTTTTCTGGAAACCATATTTTATTTTAATATTTGAAGCTGGTTTAGCATATAGCTACTTTTTATAAATATATTTTTGACAATAGCATATTTTACAATGCATAAAACTATTGAAGATATGATAATATGAAAAAAATTAAAATTATATAATTATTAAATAGCAGGTATTCCTCCACATATAATCTCCTAAAAATCGGAAATATGCACAGAAGTTCTTCATATGAAGAGATGAGGAAAATTGTGGTATTTTAAAATGTATTATATCTGATCTTACCATCCTCTCATGTAAATCTTATCTCTCTTAGTCTTCCAGATATAAAATATACTATGTCAATATTTTGCATATAATTAGTAGAGCTGTATCTGTTACATAACTACTAGATTAGCTTTTTCTGGAAAGTTTGCTTGCTCTGGATATGATGAATTTTGTTTCTAAAATTTAAGCCAACTATACTAAATATGTTCATATCAAACTGGTTCTAAATCAAAAAATAAAATAAGATTAACAGATAATCTTAAGGTCATATATTACAATAGTAGTATGGGAGGGATGTGTGGAATGGAAGGAATACTCATAGAACTTAAAAATGGGTGATAATGGGGTGACCGTTACTGAAAAAAAAAAAGAAAAACAATATTTAAGGTTCTGTTCGGCGCGCAAGAAAAATGGCATTTTTCTCACTTTTATGCTATTTTTCCACTCTTTTTCTTTAAAAAAAGAGAGGCCTGTTTGGCACACCTATAAAAATAGCATTTTTTTAAATAGAGTTGCCTTTTTTTTATGGCATTTTTTTTGTAAAATAAACAGGGGATTAGGGTATAATGAAAATATAAAAATAAAATTAATGAAATGACTAATACAATCTTTATGAGAGTGATAATAATTTCAGTGAATGTTTCTATAATCCTTTTCAAAATATTCTGATTGATTCAAAGAGCAATTTACAAACGAATTTCAACAAACAAATACAATGAATTCTACCAATAATTCGATTGAATCTGACCGCAACAAGTCTCAGTATTTCAAACACAATGCAGGTTTGCTACTCCAGCTAGCAATAGGCACAATTGAAGAAGTCGGAAGCCATTTTGAAAAACAAGTTTCTAGAAACTCTGCCCTTAGTGGCAAAGTGTATATGTTAAAGCTGCTTGATGAGGGAACGCATCCGTGATGCTTTGCTGAGGTTTTCCACATGTCTCGTAATTGTTTCCTGAATCTTTGTGGCTGGCGGAGGGACAATGGAGGGTTTATAAAAGCAATCATGCTGACAACACCGGGTGCTTGGTTTTAGGTTTAAATAATTTATACCCATTATTTAGGGTGTATTTTGCTTATATATATCAGCCGGAAAAAAAAAGAGAAACCATTGCCAAGCACTATTTTTTCTGAAAAACACCATTTTTTTAAAATAGCTTTAAAACCATTTTCAGGAAAAACGCCATTTTTTTTTATAACTGCGTGCCGAACAGGGCCTAAATTTTTAGCCTTAATAATTGTAGAGTTCCTATATCCTAAACACTAAGAACTTATTACGTATCACCCATATTTGCACTTCCTGACATTTTTGCTATCTGTTTCAGCGTGCTCCCCCATGAAAAATGCCATCAGGGGTGTTTAGGTGAATATTCCAGCTCGAGCCGCAGCCTGCTTAATTGCTCCATCCGATAGAATAGAGAACCACAGCGTAAATTACCTTATGTAGCATTCCTTAAGATTTGTTTGAGTGACCATAGTGGGGTTTTTTGGGAGCAAAGTTTTTTTGGAAGTGTCTATTATAAGGGGCCTTTCACCCCCTTTTCTTCATCGGAGATAGAGACGACGACGAAGACGAGAGGCACGATAGCAACAACCTCCTAGGCGACACGGGGGCGACAAACATATACCGTACCTGCTTACGGCTGTAATTGATCTTTCTTTTCTTTCTTTAGTTCTTCCCATCATGCGAGGGGTGACGACCCTTCCCTTTACTGAGAAGCAGCTGGACGGAGTGTGTATCGTACAATATATGCCCCGGATAGAAGACTAATAGTTCCAAGTAAAAATCCGAATGATCCACCTCAACCTTTGTTCAAGCTCACTACCCAGTTGAGGGATTTCCACTCCAGGAACATCAAAAAGTTCGGATCACCGAAAAATGATCAAACCCTATCTTACCAGCACCACAGCCCCTGCCCCCTCTCATCCATCCCCGTTCTTGTAGCCCGAAACTGTTATAATATTATCATACTAATATACGATATCCCGTTGAGTCTGCTCGCCCTATCATACCATCACACTCACGATAAAGGAAACTTAGGCTTGGTCAATTGCAAACCAGGCTGCCCCAGAACCTCACGACTCCAAACCCCACCCAGCGATACAGGGACTTTGCACGAGCAGCTCTATAATATTATAGCATAGGATCTATGACGGTCCATTAAAATACTTCCGCGACACTCATAGCGGAGATATTCGAGCGAGTGACACTCCATGATCCTCTGGCGTAGGTTTCCAGAATGCAAAAGTATCATTAGACTGGGGGTGCCCTCAGCGAGGCGACCCCCTCAGCGAGGTTTGGCATGGTTTTGCTTGCTAAAGTAGTGGAGTGCGGGTAGTTTTTGCTGCCAAATCTTGCCGCGCCTCGCTGAGGGGGTCGCCTCGCTGAGGGCACCCCCAGTCTACAATAAGATTCCACTAATCGCAAACAACAACAGTCCACCGACATACGATCCGCAATATCGCACGTCGATCATGACCTTCATTGTCTCCGGCAATGGAGTTCAGGAGCAGCTCTAACCCTTCCCCCTCCCCCGTTGAAATCAAAGGAGGCATGAGCAAAGTTATAAGTATCTGCAAGTCATAAAATTCCGAAAACAGTCTGAAACGACGGTAGTCGCCCGCCTACCTGAGCGCTAGCTCGCCGGAGAGGGGGGTAAGATGCGCCTGTATGTCAGCACTATGATGTCAATGTAATGAATATATGAGTGAAATATAGCATACGGCATGAACCTCTCCCGAGGAAGTTGGAGCCCTTAACGCGCGCTTTAGCTTTTTAACTATGGATTGTATGAGCATTAATCGAATTCATTGAATAGCACGATGGGCAAGCCTTGAATCCCAGCTTTGCTTTGCTTTGCTTGCTCGCCTGAACTGCTTCGCGATGCAAATTGAGCTCGCGATAACTCTCGAACCAAGGGAAGGGATGAAAAATGACGGCCTTGCAGTTTCTTTTTCTTCCTTTCCTTTTTTCTAGCTCCATTGCCCGCCGGTCCAGGTTAGATTATTATATTTGTCCTTCTGGTATATTGTTATTCTGAAGCAAAAATTATTGAATGAATTGATCTATCACGAGGGGTACTGCGGCGTGGCCGATTGATCGCACTGTATTGACTTGATGTACTGATTTGAAAGGACTGCAAGATGAGCAGGCTCCCATGAAAAAGGGCCAGTAGGGCTTCTGTTGTACAATAATTAACGACACATTGCGATATCTGATACAGGCGTTTGTTTCTTTTGAGTAGATAGGTAGGCAGCTGGGGCTTCTTTTTTTTTTTTTTTTGCGAAAGCGGGTACGGAAATACCGTCCCCCACACCTGCAAGATAAACGGACGAAGGACGAACCGCAGTAGGCGCGACCGTCGGCAATCGGGCTGTAGAGAGATGGTGGAGAATAGAGCCACGGTCGGAAAGTTCCCATATCTGGAATATCTGATCTGGCAAAAAAGCCAGATGGACGGACGGATGGACGGACGGGATTGACAAGATTAAGTGATGTTTTGTTCGTTTCCAACTAGCGGTCGCGATGCTTTTTTATATATTTGTAATCTGAATAGTTGACCGGTGTTGCAAATAGGCCGCTCCATGAAAAGAAAAAAGAAGAATTTTGAGAAGTATCGACGAAAGACCGAGCCAGTGTGAACTGTCAAAATCACTTGTCGCTCGTTGATGTCGAACTCGTTCACACAGATCCTCCTCCCTGCCCCAATTTTTTTCCGACCGCCGAATTAATCCGAGTCTAAAGACGCATGAGAAGAGGAAGTAAGTCTCCTCTTCCAACACAAGACCCGACTCTCCAACCAAAGAAAACAAAACAACACACACGATAAGGAACAAAGTAAGAAATGAAGGGATACAAAGATAGACTTTTAGAAAGTGTAAATAAAGGTTAAGGGAGAAAGCTGTACCCGATCAAAAAAAGGAAAAAAAGAGAGAGAAAAAACTACAGGGTGGGTGACTTTAGATAGGCCTGAATAATCTATCTCCTGTAACTACGATCATCGCCACGGGTCTCGTCACGGTAAGCGCCACCTCCATAGGCTCTTCCACCTTCGCCGCCGGTGGCTGCGGGAACCGCAGGCTCACCAGCACTGCTGCGAGAATATCCGACATCACGATCACTATAGCTAGCATAGCCAGCATCCCTGGGCGCACGTCTTTCATCTCTTCCACTATACCTATCGTCACGTCCAGACGCGTAGCGGTCAACTCCACGGGGCGGGAAGTCATCACCCCTATCACGAGAACTATAGTAGCGGTCTCCACGCCCGCCACGATCACGATCATCATAGCGAGGATTATAGCCACGATCATAATCATCGTAAAAACGGCCACCACCACCACGCGACGGGCCACGCCCACCACGGTAACCACCATCATCACGACCGGGTGGCCCACGACGGTAATCATCTGCATCTTTGCTGTCAGCTAGGCTTCATTTCATGAGGGAATATATATATTCCAACAGGTTGACACATACCTCTTTTAGGTGGACCGAAGTACTTTCCAGGAGTAGGAGTCCTGGGACGACTACGTCTCGCCTTCTCAATAGATAAAGTTCGGCCTTCAAAAACCTCACCCTGCAAATGCTCTTTCGCGCTGTCCGCTTGATCCAATGTAGCAAGCTTGACAAACCCGAAGCCACGAGACTCCTTGGTGTGAGGGTCCAACATAATTTGACACTTTTCAACCTCACCGTACTTGGCGAAGAGACGAGTAACATCATCTTCGGTAAGACGTGGGTGAATGCCAGTAACAAAGAGGTTAGTGCCAGGATTTTGGGAGCCATCAGAAGAGCTAGGACCACGGCGTTCACCACCACGCTCGGAAGAGGTGGAGGCAGTATCCATAGGGCGACGATCATCAGGGCGCGACTCAGGAGGAACAGATCTACAAACATTAGCAGGTCGCGCATAATTCGAAAGGAATAAGGGAACAAAATACCTCTCGCCGCCACGGCCCCCAGGGGAGGCGCTTCTCACGCGGTCCCTTCTTGGGGAAGAATCCTCGCGACGTCCACGAGGCGACATCGAGCGTTCATCACGACGGTAGTCACGTCCATCTTCTACTCGGGTCAGCATAAAAAAGTTGAAAACAAGTTCGCACCTGAAGAAAAAAGCAACAGATCTAGAAAGGGAGCATACCATCGTAATCACGGTTATTTTCATTTTCATAGTCCATCGTCATTAAAACCGTACTCAAAACTCAAAAAACAAAATAGTATTGTTGGGTAGCACAAGGCGAAGAAAGTAAACAGGGTGAAATCGCTCAAGGTGACACGATCAAACACAAGAGAGCAGAGCGAAGGGGGACGAAGAGGTATGTTGTGTTGGGAGACTAGGGAAGTTAAGAGGGAGAAGGAGGAAGTGAGGCTGATGAAATATGACGAGGGAAAGGATTGGGAAAGCAGAATGCGTTGGAGAAATAGAAAGGAAGGATGGAATGGAGGGGGTTGACAAGAGAGAAGGGAGGTTAGGGCGATGGCAGATGAGCAAAGCAACGAAAAAAAAAAAAAAGGGGGGGGTGAAATCCGCCAGTACGTAAACGGTGGGACCAGGGCTGACCCTACCAGTAGGTTACTAGTATCATACTTGCCGATTCCAAAAGTATCCGGCCGCCTTGGCGCCAAGACATTCTAATTTGCATCTGAATGTGCAAATATGGGAGCCAAGGCATCCGGATAATACTTTTGGAATCGGCAACTACGAATCTGGTGACAAGGAACCAACACCACCACGCTTTCCCTATGAAACGCGCTTCCCAGCAGACTCCAACTAACCACAAGAAAAAACCTAGCGATTTTCTCGATGGCACAACTTGAGCATTACCGTATTCGAGCAGAGTTCTGGAGGATGAGCTCAAAATCAGCGCCAAGACAGGAAATTTGCGCGGGATTCCTACATGTCAACTGTAAACCACTGGCTACTCTAATTCACTCATCGTTAGTTTTCTGTAGAACAGAAAAAATTCGCAATCCTCTCCCCCAAATCCCCTGTGATTGCTGTTCAAAGGGGAAATTTCGTTGTGCGCCTCTGTGGTGGTTGGCGAAACTTGTGCATTTTGTATGGAAACCCAGGTTGGTACATGGTCCGGCAAGAAGTTATGGAACAGTTATTTGAGGTTAACGAACCAAATCCATCCTTGTCGACGGTTGATGGGCTCCTATGCTTGTACTTGTATCATATCGGTTTCTTTTCGTCGCCAAGTTCGTAAGATAGAGTACGGTACTTGCAAAGGTACCGTGCCGTTGTCAACCTCTTATAGCGGTTGTTAACATTGATGGAGTAACCCCATCGTCCTATATGGGATTAGGGTATGCTGACTGGAGTGAGTTTGTTTTCCTGTTAAGCAGGACTGTTGTTTCTATACTTTATGTTGTGGTTAGCCCTTGGTGTGAGGAGCTACCATGAGTTACTTATATTTTGTTTTCTGTTCTTTCTTTCTGAGATAGATCATTCAAAAAACATCCCCTCTCCATAATGTTCTGGTGCTGTTCCCCCACCTACGTGATTCCACAACGCCACTTCCATCACCCTCATCTCTCAGTCTCCCATTCAGTACTTCCCTGTGCGCTTGATTCCCAACGGAAGTGTTGCCATCAAACATAATACGGGTTCTCGGGGTGAGAATAAGTATGATATCCGGGCTATGATACTATCATAGCAAAACCCTCCACATTTCACCAGCCCTCCGCGACCAATATTTTCGAAATTCGTGTATATGGGTTTAGTTATGCGAAAAGGTACAACTTTGAAAATGCAATGAATATAATTGAATTCATATTATAATATTATGATATAATAAAATAAAAAAAACAGATATTTAAAAATATTGACTTTATTGGCCTCCAGTAAACTCAATTTTCTTGAGAAATATTCCCTAGACCTATCAAAGGATACTCTACATGCTAGAGAAGTTTCAGATGAATCCAATTATATTCGTTGCATTTTCAAAGTTGTACCTTTTTCTCATAATTACACTCATTTGTGTATCATACCAGGACACTTTTTCTAGCCTATGTACAGTACTCGAGTACCGTATTTTTGCAGCGGGCAAAACTTGACGCATCTGAGCTCAGACATTCCCTCGCTATTGACAGCGAAGCTTAATTTAATGGTGAGTCTGGTCGCTCTCGGCTTTCCTAAATGCTAGAATCAGAGATACAAGTTGCACCCTGCAACTGTAGTTATTCCAAGTTAACATTACCTTGGGCGCTCTCTTCCCGAGAGTGCCCGACAACTCAACGCCAGATTCGACGACACTTTCAATTTGTATGTGAATTTAAGAATTTCAAACCACTACCGGGAATTTTCCGATGCTTTAGATGTCCTTCCGGCTTTCCCACACATTGCTTTAAGTCTTTGAAAACAAGTCTTCTTCTCTTTTACAACTTTTATTTTCATCTGGTGGGACTTCGGTTTGGGTTACACTTGAAAGTGTCGTTGAGCCGAATCTGGCGTTGAGCTGCTGGGCACGGCAGTAGTAGCGGTGTGTCTGGTTGACAGACAATAAAAGCCAGGAAAGGTACCTGTTTTGTGACCATCATCATATATATCATGAGGGAGTAATTTAACAAAAGTTACTCAAAAGTTTCCTAAAAAAAAGAAAAAAGTAGGGTTTTTTCTATTTTTTGGAAACCTTCATTTTGAGCTCATTATTGCAGTTTGATCATCACGTCTCGGTGTCAACCAGACACACCACTTCAAAATAGAGTTTTGCTCCAAACCTCAATAATCAGGGTCAAAAAGAGGGTTTGACCTGGCAACTAGACACACCCTTAGCCCTCAACCCACGAGTACCGTACTGTATCATACCAGTATAGCACGATGCGCAACTTATTGAGCCCCTCGATGAGTGATAGTCTACGGTGGTTGAATTGCCGGTATACTTACGCACCTACAATACGGTATTAGATTCCAAGCTTAATATACCTTTGACGAGCAGTGTGATCTTCACATTATCAGATCGCTCACTATGGTTGCATGGGATCGGTACTGTACGGTAGGTTACAGTAGTGAATCTAGTATGCACAACTACTGGTACTGCACAGGTATGAGATCGTAGACATATCATATTTCAGAACATCATAATACCAGTACTCGAGCAGTGCTTCAATATCCTAAGCCTGCACCAACACAAAAACAGATAGTCTGAAGTCTAGAGATTCATACCATCACTCAAGTGTAGGCCTTAACCCAAACAAAAAGAATCCACGGTATCCGGCTATAATGCAAGGGGACACCATTTACAAACACCCTTTTGAACTGTAACTTACCTTCAACTTTAAAACTATACTACGGTGCACTATATCACCTCCGAAACATGCAAAGAAGGAAGGCAAGTTAAAGAAGGAAACGAAAAATAAAGAAAAAAAGCTAGTACTATCCGATCCGATCCTGAACCCCGGTAACAAGCCATCAATCCCAGAATTCCCATGATGATGAAAGAAAAGAAAGGAAAAAGGGGAGAAAAAATTGAAACAGTAAATAGAGTTGATTGGAAGAAGGATACAGCAGCAGTTAAAAGGCCACAAAACGAAATGAAGGAAGAAGTAATTGAAGGATGGGGGGAAGGAAGGAAGGAAAAAGAGGTGTCAAACGAACAACCAGACCTCGTCAAATTAGAAGACGCAAGTCATCTAATAATACAGATATTTGAAATACCATACCCCAACTGCATCATATTACAGGGGCATCGTCTACCATTTCTTCTTGCGGGCCTTTTTGGCACCGCTGGCGCCAGCAGCTCCCTTTGTGGTCCCGAACCGACCATTGCTCTGTCGAGGAAAAATCATGCCTTTCCTGCTCTTCCGCCCAGTCGTAGTCACCGAAGTCGCTGGCGAGGGCTCCGCCACACCGTTCACACCAACCACCGATTGAGCACCACTAGATTCGCCGAGTCTAGATGAATCAATTTCCATGGGTGGGAATTCGGGACGGCCAGCTAAGCCGGCTAGGGTGCCATTTTGGGTAGGGGCCTCAGTTAGAACAGCTGCCAAATGATTTTGCGGCGGCTCCGGGATGCCCATTCTGCCACCAATGCTTGGAAGTGTATGGTCTCTATTTGGGGCAGCATTTTCATCAATTGCACGGAGGGGTGAGGGAAGGTCCATAGCCCGAAATCCTTCCATCAGAGAGTCGTTTTCGCCGGAATTTCGCTCTGGCTTAGGAATCGGTTCCATTCTCCTATCTGGTATTGGCACCTGTAAATGGGCATTGCTTTCCCGTGGTGCCCCACTGATCGCCTGAGCGTTTCTTTGACCCCATCCAGACATCGAAAGAGACAAATGAGATTCAAGCGGGGGCACTGAAGAATATACCCTGGCCGAATTCCCGTTGAGTTCACATTCGTCATCATAATCTTCACTCGGCGGGCTCCATACTTCTGCCTCTACACGAAGCCCAACCGGAGCAAGGTCTTTAAGATACCATGGCGGCCTTCCATTGTCCCAATGAACTCCGAGTTCCGGATCGATATTCAAAGGTGGTAAGACAACAGAGGAATCTTGTAGCTGTATTTGTGGGACCAGTGCATTGTTGTCTTCCATTGACGGGAGAATTTCCCCGTTCATGCCACCGTAAGTATCAATGGGCTTCATATCGGCAACATTGCCCCCAGTTATCTCTATAGAGGGGGGACGAGTTCGTATCTCTAGTTCGGACCTTCTCACATCTTCTAGAAGTGGGAGGACGTGTGGTAAAATCAGCGATGCGACTGTTGTACCCTGTAAATCGTCTTTTGGTGATGAGTGCATCAACCCTGATCCCAATTGATACCGGTAAACAACCTTGTATTCCAGGATCGGTTGCGAAGGCGGTGATTTAAGAACAGACAAGAGATCGCACGCAAATGCACCCACATTAGGATACAAGCGATTTTCTATTCGCTCTTCAATCAGTGAAAATCCATTGATGAAAACGTGATTCGGATCGAGGCTGTATCATAAACGATTGTCAGTAGACAGCTCTAAGAGAGGCAAAGGCTGCTTCAAACATATAATCTGCAAATGCGCGAAGACATACCTCCTAGCAATTTCAAAGACATCCCTGATGAGTGGAATCTCAGGAAAGTAGTTCAAGTCCGTATACGCCTCCATGAAATCCACCGTTTCAGTGCCCCTGTTCTCCTTCTCTTGCTTTTGCTCAAATATTTCCCTCAAACGCTCCAGCTCAGAAACACGACCCTGAGCAAATTCTTTACGTTTCTCGAGATCTATTGTGCCTTGCTTGAACCCTGCACTAGAATACTTTTTTTTGACTACCTCCGCAGATGTAAAGCTGTTGATTGAAGCTTGAAGGCTCCTCACAAGGCTTGCGCCGCGCCGGGATTCACGTTTCAGAGTCCAGTATTTACAAGCACTTGCCACAAATTCATCGACTTCAGCAACGTCAAACCGGCAAACGAATTTGACTACCCGGTCGTAGATCACTCGGGGTATAACTGGAGCACCGGAGGCAAGTTTCCACGTCGATTTGGGGTCTTGACTGCGTTTACGTTTGTTCCCAAATGTTAAAGTAACCCGTGGAAGGTTTCCATTTCGTAACATGCCGTTGCGTAGGCCGTGATCAGGCCCAGCCATCGCAGCAGACTGGCTATCGCCCCACTGCGTGCCAGTCATCGTATTCGCATAAAAGTCCATCGCGTCGGACACAGCAGTATCCACCTGTACGGTACAATATTAACTTCCCACCAAAAAAAAATCACAAGGAATGGGCTGGCAACATACGTCGTTGTCTCTCCTCCATTGCTCAGGCACATGCTTATCACAATATGCCTTGAGAGCCGAAGTTTCCATGAGTGCTCCCGTCCCCAAGCTATTCTTCATCTTCATGGAAAGCCTCGCCCTACGGCCACAAGTGACATGAAATGCAATAAAGCAATTCTTATTGCTGCATTGGATACAAGCTCCCATTTTTTGTTTACAGATGTAACAGCTCTATTGGATGTTAGAGATTTTCCCATGAAACTCGAATTATGGCAACTGACCAGCTTCCATCTTGATTTTGGCACCGAGTCCATTCCATCAACTGGCTCCATATACGATGTGTTACCAAGAATGACCTCAGGAATCCATATCGCGCACAGTAAATGTGCCCATTTAGTGTTAGTTGTCTGCTTGAAGGCCCCGTCCGTGTTTGGGCAGAATATGCAGTTCTGTGATTCTTATGGTTAGTGGACCCCAACTCCGAAGGATTGGAGGCACATACCGCTGTCTTATTAGGTATAGCCAAGCATTTGCGGCAAAGCCACTGACCTTCCGGGATATGTGGCACCCCGTAGCACTCTTGGTGAACTGCTAAATTACACCCGTCACAGAAGACGATGGCGTTAGAATTTTCACACTCGCCATCATCGCAAATAACACATTTACTATCTTCACCCCCGTCTTCGTCGCCATCATTTCCCGAGCTTCTCCGCCGGTTTCCGTAGGTAGAGCCATGGGGCTTTGCAACGGTCTTGGGTATCCTTCTTTCCAAAGTCACCCACTCCTTCTCTATCTTAGTCATAGCGACCTCAAACATCTCCCTAGTGATAGGCTGAATATCCCTCATCCTCCTGTGACTGTTATATGTAGTGAGCCATTTGTTATCTTGCTCATCCATGTCATACTCTACTTTCTCGACTACCTCAATTGACTGCAGCTGGTCGTCAATCAGGGTGTCCGGGCGGTCACGAACAAGGGTACGTGGACGTTCGAAACGTGAGGTTTCCTGATACCCAATAGCAATCATTGCACTATCAACGTTTGATCCAGAGCGATTTGGAGGATTGTTCAACCCTTGGGGCCCCGTGCTCCCAACAGGCGTCAACCAGGCTGCCTCGGAAAACTGAAATGGTGTAATTTTCCGATATTCAGGCTTTTTGAGCTCCGTCTTCGCTAGGTCAGGAGGGTCTTGGGTGTTGGTCTTCATTCTAGAGCCCCGCCCAGCGGACGGCGGGGCATAAGACTTCCGTGAAGGCCTCCCGGTAGTTGATCGGTGGGCACGGAGGGAGGCAAGTGTTTGTCCATCTTTACCACCCCTGGAGGGCCCGGAAAAAGATGGTGTAAACCGTGAACTCAATTTTTGGCTCGAAGCCGAAGCAAGCTCCTCAGTAGGCGTCACTGCTGGTGTTTGCGGGGCACCGGGTGCGGCCTCCACAAGTGCCGGATCAGTTGGGATAGACGGAGCATCAGTGCTTGTATTAGAGGGAGGGGGAGGGGGGGTTAGAGCGGCAAGCGCCGGATCAATAGCTATCATGGGTAGAGGTTGTAAGTGTTTCTCAAAAGGGCCTGAGACGCTGGCGTCTTCCATATTGATATCGCCTCCAGTACTAAAGACTCCGTTATCAACAGTAGGTGGCCATGGCCCGGATAGAATTGGGACCCCCGCGCTATAGATAGATCCGTTTCCTTGATCGTCTTGAGGAAGCTCCGGCTTCTCTTGGGTATCTACAACCTTTGCAGGCCTCTCGCCATCGATTACCTCGGCTGAGTAGACCTTAAGCGGACGATTGATATCTAAATCGATATGGAACTCGGTGTAGCTTCGTTCTTCCCGTGGCTTGATGTCCGCCCCGGTGATAGAAGCCGGGGCTGCCGGTATTGCTAGTGTTCGCGCAGGCATTCTTCGTGTTCGTGCAATAGAGCCTCCTCTAGCGGCATTCCACTCGTTGGCCGTCACAACCTCACCAGTAGTGGGGTTCATGTACCTTCCACCACCCCCTGCGCCTCCGGGCCTATACCCATTCTGATATGTCGGCCTTCTCCTCCCAGTCGGAGTTCTACTCTCACTATTTGCTGAAGGTGGGCGCGTTCGAGAGGATATTATTGAGCTACCGCGGGCACGGAGTCTAGGACGGCCTCTACCGCGGCCACGAACAGTAGGGGTCTGTACAGAAGGGGATGGAGCCATGTATGTTGTTAAAGTCGATAGAAACACAGCATATCCAGGCGAAGAACGCGTAGAAGAGTTAGGGAGATAGGGGAGAGAAGGGAGAGTTCTCAGAATTGTTGGAGCGGGGTGTTGTGTGAAGTGTTCGGTCGATTCGAGAGGGCAGACCAAGCAGGACAGGCACCAGGAGATGTTGAGGTCGCGACTCTTATCAGATCGCCAAGAGATTAAGAAATTCGGGTTAGGGTGAAATTCTACTTGCACAGAAGGCGTGATCGCGTCTGTGAGACTCGAAATGTGAGGCTGAAGAAAGCGAAGTTTACCGTGGTAGGGTTAGGGGTGTGGCAGGCCTCAGAAGGTGGATTGCGGGGACTTCGTAGTATTTTTCAGGCCGGTTTCATTGCTGTAACTTGCAGCTATCCCAGATGGTGTCAAACGTTTTGCAGGACGGAGGTGGAAGATACAGGTACCGTGCTGCATTTTACCGCGGTTGGAGCCTCAGAGATCGAGGGACAACAGTGTGGAATGACGTGACAGGACAATGATGGCACGTGCAGCTTTGAAATGGAAACCTTCGCTCTGCTATCTAAATTATCATGCGTATGCGTATTGGGAAAATAGGGTCAGCCAGAGTGTTTCTCCCGGGCCTCACTGGGCACTGATCGGTCCCACAAGAACAAAACATGACACATATGAGTGGTTTGTCCGCAACATACCTGGGATGCTTCCTCCTCCACTCTCCTTCTCCCCTTACTAGTATCATACTGGTATTGTACATCACCATCTGTCATATTTTCCGCTGAGCCCATCACAGAGGGTAAACGGTCGAAAACTCGCACAATACATCCGCCGACATTCCCCGGGTCTCCGGAACAAACCGACGGACGAAACAAATACCAAGGATATACCCGAGTAGACAAATTTCACTTCTCTACCATCGTCGACAAGTAGCTGGGGAATAAGCATTACCACCTGGATTTAGGGTTAGGCTCGAAAGGAAAAATCGAGTGATTCGGGCCAAGAGGTCGAGGAGGTACCTTGACGTGCAATACCGTACAGTTAAGGTCGTATCGGTCGGTGCGCTTAGCGATCAAAAGATGACGATTCTTAGCTCTACACCGCCGGACGAACGGGTCGTGGAACTCGCTCATGCCATATCCCGTTTACTTGGCTGGACCTACTTTTTGTGTTGGGGAGTCTCTTCTTATCCTCAACTTCTCATCAACTATTCACGAAAGTCAGTAACTGGTCTCGCTTTCGATTTCTTCACCGTGAACATCCTAGGCTTCGGCTGCTACACCATCTCCTCGATCCTATTTCTATTCTCCCCTGTGGTGCGAGATGAATATGCGAGGCGCCATCCTCGGTCTCCTGAGCCCACCGTCCGATGGAACGATCTGGCGTTTGCGGTTTGTTGAATCTTGATTCCTGCTAAAAATAATAGTAATGTGGCACTGACAGTGATAATAAATCCAGATTCATGCAACCTTGTTCAGCGTCATAACTTGGTCACAATTCTTTTTTTGGGGATATAAGCGAGACCCCACACAAAGGTTGTCTCGCACGATGCTAGCGTTAATAGCCATGTGTATTGTTACAATCCTGGTTTCCATTGCTCTTGCCCTGAGTGGCATAGCAGATTTTGAATGGATTGACGTCGTGAGTTTACCAAAATTGAATCGTATTATTCGATCCGTCACTGATACCCGTTGTATGATCCGCCACCTGCAGGCCTATACTCTACAATTTGTCAAGTTGTTCATCTCGATAGTGAAGTACGTTCCTCAAGCATGGCTTAATTATAAACGGGAGGCAACCACTGGTTGGTCGATTCACAACATTTTACTTGATATTTCTGGGGGTGTCTTATCGCTGGCCCAGTTGGTTTTGGACTCCAGCCTTCAAAGTAAGTGGACAATCCGACAGTCCCAAAAAAACCCGTGAGTAGACAGTCGCTGAAATCATCCCAGACGACTGGTCCGGCCTAACCGGCAATCCCTTGAAATTATTCCTTTCACAAATTTCTATATTTTTCGACATTATATTCATTATTCAGCACTACGTATTATATCGCTCCTCCAGTGAAAGTTCTACCTACTCGCATCTTTCTCCGGAAGGAGAAGCCGAAATAGGCTACGGAACACTTGAGCCACCCCCAAGGATCCCAAGAGCAGGCGGTGATAAACGATCGCGCTCTTCCCCACTTTGTCGCTCCTTTGGTGAGGAAGAGCAGAGGTCATTCGGAAGATTTCGACACGGCTCGGAGGGAGAGGGGGCACCGAACGAGCTGGGGTTAAGGGGAAGGGAAAAGAAGGACTATGGGGTCGGGGACAAGAGGAGTGATGAAGAGGAGAGGGGGGGCTTGTTGGGCTCCAGCTTCAGTGAGACTTTCACTAGAGTAGGCGACACGGGGGCAACAGGTGAATAAGAGGGTAGATATAGATTTATCTTAACCGAGGAGAGCACGGAGGGTGTAGATCGGATTAGACGGGGCGGAGTCATTTCATGGAGGTTTGTTATTATGGTCGGGCAATTTCATGTGCATTTCGTGGTTCTGGCTTTATGATGGGTGATTTCTTGTTTTGTCAAGATAGTGCTCGGTTGGTTATTCTAGACATTTTCTAGTACAGTATTGCCGGCGTGGGGGATTCACAGTACCTTCCCTTAGTTGGATGGTGTTTCAACCCAACTCTACCTTGTGGGAATAATTGCTCTGTGACCTGACCAATAAACTGATGGATGGAGGAAGGGAAGTTGACTTGGATCCAATCATAGTAAATAGACCAACACAGATAAAGAAAAGGGGTTGAAGCCGAACCTGAGTTAGATAGGAACACACTGCTATAATATTGCGGTTATTGTCCAGTGGTGGTTGGACAATTCTACATGCCAAGGGATGTACAAAGACAGGAAATTCCATGGGGTAAAAAACCTCATACTCTAGCTCTCAGACAATACCCTACCAACTTAGCCTCCACCCTACGCCGGTAGTTATTCACTCTCATTTACCTCTTCCGAGTCTAGATGATAATATTATTAATATGTACCTTGTGAATCCACTAACGCCCCCCCACCGATCACTTGATATCACTCGAGAATCAAATATTTCACAGAGAGGTATTGTATCATGGCTATTCTGAAAGGAGGGAACTACCCCACGGGCACTAGTCCCACCACCCTCGCAAACCCCCCTTCAAACAACTCCGGTAAACTTGCCACAAACCTCATAATTATGAGTATGAATAGACGTCTTCGCAATCCACTTCAAAAGCCACATATCATACACTCCACCTCAAACTCCTCCCGGGGCTCCGCCCCTCCCCCACCTTCAGCCTCCCCCAGAGCCCTTCCTTTTTTAACCCTAGTCTCCGTAAACTTACCTCCCCGGGCAAGAATTTAGTACTGTAGCAACCCTCACAACCCACATCTGACGCCGCATGCCACACCGTTAAGCAGACCCTCGAAGTCAATCCGAATGCGGGCGGTATGGTCTCCACGTACTCAAGTAGGTGGAGTGGACACGATAGCCAGTAATGGATGTGTACTTGTAAGGGAGTTGAGCGAGTGGTGTTCTGGCGTTTTGGTATACTGTAGACTAGTGGAACATCAACACCAGGTTGATTCACCATCGTTTGTGCAGCAGCCAATTACTTTCCTCTTTAGGTTCGATTAGTTATTAGAGAAAGATCGGTGAGCTTATTTCCTCACCAGATGTCATTGTCCCAAGATATCACTTGATATAGCTATCGTAGCTTGAGCTATGTTAATTTGGCAGCTCTGATGCAAAAATAAAACCTTTGAATTGCTCTAGCATTACGGCAGGTGGAAATTCCTTTATATCGTAAACACTTTTACAGAAACTTTACTTAGGAGTTGTAGTTGCTAAGTTAGGGGAGTTTGAAGTTGGCCATTGGAGTTGGCTGAGGGTTTGCACTGAATGGAGGGGGAAGGAGAGGAGGAAGGGAATCGCACGAGTGCCGTAGTGATTTAGTACGAGTGCAGCTAATACATCCATCACGTGACGTCTGATAAGGAAATTTTATCTTGTTGAAGTGTGCCTAGATAAGCACGTGACAGATACATCTATCGACTGCACTTGTACCGTAGCAATTTGGGCCTTGGTATTTTAAGCCTCATGCGGCTTGTTCAGCCAAGGTACCGAGCGATACCTTACAAAGTACCCTCTGCCATCATCTCTATCCAGCAGGACCATTCTGAAAGAACGCACAGCCTTACTTACATCCACCAAACATAGCAGATCGGATTAGGAACAACGGATAGGAGTCGCTCATCTGGAAAACACCGTTTTAGGGAAGACTCACGCGATCGGTAGTGCCCCACCCCATCATCGTCGCCTCCACATTCACCCTCTGGTTGCATTCTAACACAACATAGCATTAAATCATGGCAGGAAACTCGCTAGTAGATGCTTATTTCTCCCAGGCGAGGAGTGAAGGGACTCTGGTTGTTGGTGTGGGCTCATTATTCACTCTCTATAGCTCGAGTTTGCTAATCATATTCACCAGGTTTACCGAAGTTTGATTTGGACACTTACATCTCAGGCTATGCTGGTATAACACAATATTGTAGCCACATTGCGCGCAGCAAGGGTTGCTGAACTATTTGTCGGTATATCTAGGGCGTACACGGATCGACCGACTCATCCATATTTCTACCCACTCACCTCCTCTGGCGATCGAGGGACTGAAGTTGGCTATCAAATTGTTGAAGCAAACCCAGGATGTTCCCCGGTTCAAATTCGCTTTAGATATCCTCCGTAAACTCTCTCCAGAGGACGCAGATGCGGCTCAGGACGATGCTTGGATTGAGAAGACTTCTAGGAAGGTTGTCGGTGATACAGAGAGAATCGAGGCTGATCTGAAGAGCTACAAACATAATCTGATCAAGGAGAGTATTCGGGTGGGTCTCCTCATTGGCACTGGTTGATGTAAGGGCTACCATTTACTAATGCCAAACACAGATTGGCCACGAAGATCTTGGCAATCATCTATACGCATCTGGTGATCTCGTCGGTGCCTTTAAGTGCTACTCTCGCATGCGCGACTTCTGCACCACACCGAAACACATTGTTGATATGTCCATACAAGCCATCAAGGTTTGCATCGAACAAGGGCACTATTTAACAGTGCAATCGCACGTCCTCAAGATACGCAATTTAGCTCGGGCGCCCGATGAAGAGGAACTTTTGAGGCCTAAGCTCTGTGTCGTTACGGGGCTTACACAACTAGCAAATGGTGACTTCAGAGCGGCGGCCAGGAGCTTTCTGGATTGCCCACCAACCCTGCTCAACACTTACAATGAAGTCATCACCGCGAATGATGTAGCAACCTACGGCGGACTTTGTGCTTTGGCCTCTATGGAGAGAACGCAACTCAAGACTGAAGTTCTTGATAACGTTGAGTTCCGTAACTTCCTCGAGTTGGAGCCACGTATGAGGAAGGCTATTTCTTTTTTCCATACCGCAAAGTACTCCAACTGTTTGAGCATTTTGGAGGACTCTAAAAACGATTTTCTCCTTGATATCCATCTCCACAAACATACTAACAGGCTATTCGAGTTGATCAGGAGTAAGGGAATAGTCCAATACTTCATACCATTTTCATGTGTGACTTTAGGCAGCATGGCTCAAGCTTTCGCCACGGATGAACGGACTTTGGAGAAGGAACTTGTTATGATGATTGGCAAAGGAGCCTTGGACGCTAGAATCGATACAAAGAATAGAGTAAGTTACCATTAATATTTCTACCTCTTTATTTTTAACTTTTGAACACCTTTTAACAATATCCAGCTCCTTACTGCCAAAGAGACGAATCTTCGTGCAGCCGTCCATCGTGAGACCTTGGCAGTTGCCCAGAACTATGAGCGCCTTGCCAGGATGAAACTCATGAGAATGAACATGATCAGGTCTGGGCTAGAAGTAAGGGGATCAAAGGCATCTACTGGTCAAGTTAATATGGGAATTGCCCATGGACAAAATTCTTCGTGGACTGGTAACTCCCAAAAGGCGGAGAGGAATTGGAGGGAGTTTATGTGAGACTGTCAGGCTCTATATAGTGTTAGCCCTGAAAAAATCCTTCTCTTTATAAACTATCATGCCGGCTAGTTTGAACCATTTGTCGTAGTTGTGGCGTCTCATTACGGAGTTCTTTTCACACTATTCTTTCCTATCATCATACCGTAGGGTGTTTTTATGTTGTTGATAATACAACTAGTTGTCCGTGAGAAACGTTGAATTGTTGTTTTCAGATGGATTTTGCCGTTGTTTGCGGTACCGGTATGACGATACCTGTATCCTTCACTGGAGGCCTTGACACTAAATCCTACTTTTTGGTGAGCTGGGTATTATGACTAGAGTTTGGCGTTACAGGCTAGTCTGGAAGGCTACCGGTATGTTTTCCTCCAACCCAGAGTATCCAAGGTGGATTGTAGCACAGTGAGGATCGCGTCAAACAAGCACCCCCGAACTCAGTTTATCAATTACAAAGTTGTCAGTGAGTCATGAGCTTGGAGCCATCTGCGAGCATTTCAGCCTCATGGAGTCATAACTTTTTAGCATGTCTCGGCTACATCCCATCCTATCATTCATACTACCGGTATACCGTGATTCCGGATACCGGTACGAGTACATCGAGCAGGTACTCCACGACATAGCTGACCTGTATCCATTCTATTGATATAGAGGAGCTTTCTCTACCAGAACTAAAACTATTTCCTTCTCGATCCCTATTCACAATTCTAGAACCATGGACGACAAGAGCCCCCCCTTCACTCATGATCGCCCTCCTGCCAAAAAACCCTACCTTCTTCCCCCCGAAATTCTTTCCCTAATAATCCAACACCTAACTCCGCAAGACATCCTCTCACTCTCACTAACAAACCATTATCACAACGCGTTCACAAGCACTGAAGCTTGGCGAATCTACCTACAAACCCACCTCCCCACAGCGCACACCCAGATCCTGCAGGAGTACCACTACCAGCAGCAGCAGCAGCAGCATGGGCCTCAATACCAAGGCTCGAAAGCCAATTGGGCAAGATGGGCCGAGGAAGCCACCCGCGTATCCCGCAATTTCTCCCGTGCAGGATTCGTCGCCACAGCACTCAGGCCCGCAATACACATGTACGTCCCGCGGGGCCCCCGCAGGGGTCCTGGTGGCGGACAGGTCAACGCATGGCTCTGGGAACCGGGCACTCGAGGCGCCAGCGGCGGGAGAAGGCAGACTGTGGCATACCGCCCCATGGTTGACTCATACAGTGAATTCCGCGGCGATCGGGATGTGCTAGCCATTGGCGCGGGGCAGGATATCATGGTTAGTAAAGGTTGGGGTCAGCGCGGGGCCTTCTGGTGGGGGTTCGAGAATCGCGAGGAGAGGGGGGGAAGGGACGATGTCACGGGACTGCATTTGTTGAGGCCGTATGAGAAGGCTGGGAATAAGGATGTGGAGGTCGCGCTTGTTGGGAGGGCGAATGGCAGGCTAGAAATGCTGGAGTTGGATACGCGGGGTGGAGTCGGGGGCACGTGTAGGTCGAAGGTTGTGGTTCGGTATCATACGGACGGAAGGAAGGTGAAGGGGATGGATATGATGCATGAGGGAAATGGAGGGGGGGTTCTGATGGGGGCGATATTGAATAATCCTTCGTTGAGCATATACAATGTTCGGCAGCCTGTTGGTGCGGGGGAGCCAGTGAGGACGGCTAATCAAGCGTCTGAAGTACAATTTATTGATGAGCAGCCGTGGGAAGTTTCTTTCCTAGATCATACGAAGGTTGCTGTAGGGAAGGCTTCTACCAAACCGATTGCTATTCATGCAATTACACCCTCAGGGCTTACGCAGGAGCCAATAAGGGAGTTTTCGGCGAAAGACTGTGCAGACATGAGGAGTGCTTCTGTCTACGTTATCAAGCCCCTGCCCAGGGGTTCTGCGGGTGCGAGCGCTAATGGAGATGTATTCCTCAGCGGATGCTGGGATGGAATAGCGAGGCAATTACCCTCCCCCTTCTCTTCCCTCCACCGTCACTTTCTAACATGCACTCAGGCTCCACGACCTCCGCACCCCTCAACCCGCAATCTCCCATTTCTGCGATCCCATAGACTCCCAAACACCCATCTTCTCTCTCCTTCCGCTCTCCAGCCACACCTTTGTAACCGGCGCAAGCCGATACGGCCTGCTAAAGTACTTCGATATTCGCTCCCCCTCCTGCTCCCCCTCCGCCTTCTCGCCAAAAAACTGGGCAACATACATCCAATCCCGCACCGAAGGCGACCGGGCAAGCCCCGTGCACTCCCTCGCACTTGGCGGTGGCGGGAAGACAGTGTATGCTGGTTTGCAAGGAAGGGTTTGGGCGTTGGATTTTTGGGGAAAGGGCGTGGGGAGAAGGGATGGTGTTCGCGAGGGGTTGAGTATGTATTTGCTTCACGAACCAATGACCTATTTCACGCAGGGTAGGGAGGAGGCGGTTACGGGGAGGCGTGCAGATGGGGCGTTGAGAGAATGGGATACGCGATGGAGGCTTGTGGAGAGTATTCGAGGGTGTTGGTGAGGCTCTATTTCATCTTCCTTTTACATAAACTAGGTTTTGGCTTAATCTAGACGGGGGGAGGGTATTTCTGGTTCGCAGTTTTTTCTTCTTTTGTTCGTTTGGCTGCTTGTGGGATACATCTTGGCATGATAGATAAGTTTCTTGTGATGTATTTTGGGTTTTTTTTTTCCATATCGATGTTTCGGAATGGTTTCTCGCTCTTTTGCGTTTTGCCGGTTTTCTTTACTTGTAGGATTGTATTGGCGGGAAGGTTGTTCTGGAGCGGCCTTATAAATTTCTAGCGGAGGGTTTTCTTCGTGCCCCCTGTATTATATATATATAGTCTTTCTACTTGTGTCTCCGGCGGGCGTAGTTACTTTTGGTGGCGTGGAAACAATGTTTCCCGGTATAGGACTACTACTGTATGATTTATTAGTAATTAATGAATAAACAGCACAATACACACCTAAATTTCGAACTGCTATGTGGATGTACTAGTACAGTACCCATGTATGCGCATGATAGTGCTCTTATATCTGCTTGAGGGGTACCGGTACATACTCGAGTATATATGACTATCCCGCCCGACTCGTGGACTGAACCCAGTTCCTTCACGGTACCGAGAACTCAATCCCAGCTCTGGCAATTGTGATACCATACCTGTTGGAAATCGCCTTTTTTGCTCATACATAAACTCCGCACCTCGAGCGACATTCAGTGACTGCTTGGATCACTCTCATGTCTGTAGGCCTAGCTCTGGGCATTCTTCTTTTCTGAATAACAATCATCTTTTAAAAAACAATCGACACTTCAATATCAATCCTATATCTGCTCATTCAGTCTCTACTCCAGCGACCCCGTCTAGCAATACCCCTGGATATCCCCTTCTGAGGAAGGAAAATCCTTCATCCCTTCGACAGTGCTTCTACGGGTGCGGAGCAATCCTCCACTCCAAAGTTGGGAAGTGGATAGTACCTGGATGCAGAGTGATATATTGTGATTGGCCCGGTACCTGCATTCGACTTTTCGAAGGAGTTGGATGACAGTGAAAACTTGGTGGAGGGAGGTGATTTATACTTGGGGATAAGCGATTGTGCGCCGATAACTGCGATTATGGAATTTAGCCCTAACCACGAGGGCTCTCGCACGTTGGGGCGGTTGTTAGGGACCGAATCACGGTCAAGCAACGTACAGTACTTGTTGTGAATCGGTCGGCATCGTGACAGCGCAAAGGCACCGACTCGCTCGAGCGCTCGGGTGCTGTGGTCTGTGCTTGGGTGAGGGGTTACACTTTTGCCCGTGATATAACTTTTTGGCACGGCGTCTGTCGATGCGGTGCCTCTCATTTCCGGCCATGGAAATGCAGCATCTCGGTTTCTTTTTCGGCTGGTTGCTTATAGGACGGAGTGGTTGACTTGAGTGCCTAACAGCGGGTCGGGTAGGTTGCGCTGTTCCTTGAAGTGCAGTACTCGTACCGGTATTGGCACACACCGGATAGCATCTTGTGGGAATTGCGGGTCAATCTCGGTACTCGAGTATATAGCGCAATACAAGTGGGTGGTTTGTTAATGTACTCGTACTCGTACAATACCGGTACCCGGTTGCTGGAACAACTTGGGACATGCCGTATTTACGCGAGCACTAGTACTCGTGCAGCATGGTACAAGTATCATACTCACTAAAATTTAAATCCATTGTCGGCTTCGGAACATCCCGATCAGAGACAAAACACCCTGGGAAGAGATAGTGACTTCCAGATGGGATAAGGGTAACTTGCTAGTTCTCATTAATTACAGAATTTTTGTGGTATTACCAGTAGCTGGCTTGGAAGGAGAGTCCTAGCGCCATCATTTCAGTGCATAATGTTGATTCGAGCGCTGCATCCAGCGATATTGAGGGTCATCGAATATTTCCTCCACCATCCACGGAATGGAACCATTAGCAATTGCTTGAAGCAACTTGTTTTGTGTGCGCATCAAAGGAAGGGACACTGCGCATCCGAGTTGGTTTACTTGAGCTCATTTTCGATATTTTTCTCTCGAGAGAGAATCAATCAGTTCCTGCACTAACAAGATGTTGGATTGTCCTGACAGTACTCGTACAGTACGGTAAGTGTACGAGTACTGTACATGTACAGTTTGCTGCGAAACGCTACACGTGTAGTTTCCGATGTGCCGTGCATCAACGTCTGTTCCTTTGTAAGACATGAATTTGGGTTACGGGACATTCGCCATGCATGTCTCAACCGACGTTAGCTCACTTGTCTGTGGCCAAGGTCTCCTCTATCTGCAGGCATCCGCAGTATGATAGTGTTGGAAATTATGTTATTCCTTTCCTATCCGGTGATGGGGCTGTGTTGGTCATGTGACACAGCCACATGACCGAGTATATATGCTATTGTATTCTAGCATCTAGAGATTTCCTTGGTATGAGGCAGGACTTGTAAAATGATAAAGAGGTATATAAAGGGCAGGTTCAGCCCTGTTCTTAGAAAGAGTGTGCAAGCTTGGATTAATCTTTAAGTCTTCAGATTTTATTGTGGTTATCATTGTTACTTTGGTATCACAACAGTTAGTACAATAAATACAAATATTTTTAGGTTATGAGCCTGAGTTTGTGAGATACTTCCACATTTCCACCATAAACTAGAAGATCTCTGAAGCACTCTAAGAAAATGCATTACCGTCTCCCATCTTCAACCAATCCTCTGTTACATTGTAGTGGAAAATTTCTTCTACGATGCACATGAGTGCCTACCTACCTCCTCTAAACACAGACTTCACTACTATAAAGGCTGCAACCACATCCGATAGCTAGACATTGATATTTTGTTTCCTCTGTACTGCGAATGTTACTACGAAAATATCCGAGGTTATGAGTTAGATTATCTCAAAGATACCAATCGATATAAATAACTACCTGACACAAAACAAAAGAACTAAATGGTCTACATCACGATGTTATCTGAAAATAACACAAAATCTGACTTTAGCATTTCTGTCAAAGACTACCCCAAACTCCATGGTCAAGAAAATTATCAAATCCGGGCTGACGCCTGGGAGATAGCTTTTTAAGTCCTAGATTTGTGGGATATAGTATCAGGCAAATCTGTGAAATCAGTACCTCCTTTCAAAGATAATACAACAGCTTGCACCATGATTGAAAAAAATGTTGAAGTCTATAAAGGGAAAACAAGAGAAAAGAAAAGGGAAAACATACTTAAACAGTAGTGAGGACTGATGTGAATGTTATGGTATTGATGGCTGGAAATATGCCATTAAATTCGCAGAGAGTAGAGGATAAAAACTCAACAAATTGGTTATGCAACTCAGGTACTACAAGTCACTCTTTGTCAAACTTAGGTGATTTCCTCAATCTCACCCCTTCCTCCAAAACCATAGTAACCGCTGATAGAAGAATCCATCAGGCAACTCTATCTGGAGATGTAAGAATCAAGGTGCACCTGTTGGTGTAACAATCCCTCTTCAAATATTTAGTTCTTGGCGATAGGGAACGATACTTCTCTTTCTTCTTCTTCTTAGTCTTACGATAGCTCTAGGCCTATCCCTACGTTACCAATAGTACAACACCTTTGTCTTCTATCGAGAATGTCTATCATAATCATTTTCTAACTCTTCTTTGTGAAGAGGTATCCTTGGCATAACAATAATAAAGGTTGTTAGAATGATAAAGAACGTAAAGGTATTTTTATATTTGTTATAGTAATAAGTAGGAAAAGTACTTAGAATTCAATCTAATTTTATTTAAACTCGTACTGCCAATACTGACATATCATGAGTCCCTGCCAGTACAGGGATACCACTAACTGGTATACCACTAATCCTAAGCTAACTAAGTCTATGGCTCCGCACCTGCCATCCCTGAGTCATGCTATACAAGAACTAATTACAAGACCATCAAACAACCCAGCGCCCGCCCCAGTCCGAGTCCCTAGCTCCTCCAGTATAAAGCCAACCTGCACTAAGTATAGCCAAAGCTGAGCAAAAGACCAACTCGACTATGTTCCTTGTCTAACAAATATAAAACCACTACTATCTGGTCTGAAAACCGTGCCGCGAAACTTCCACTACACTAGAAAACCAACAATCACACAAACTAAACCTACAGGTGACACAATAGCAGGGAGGAGGCAACCAACATGTCAACCTCTTGCACCTGCATGTCAGACCATCGACTCTATGAACTCACTTTACCGGTTGCCTCCATAGAGCGTACCGGTGAGGAGGACCTGTACCTACTGCCTGTCCCCCAACCAAAATAACACAAACATAGAAAATACATAGAGGTAGTAACAGACCAAGAAGGTCAGTGGGGCCTATCTCCCACCAGTAGTGCTATGCCTCCTCCTGCCAAACCCATAGCCAAACTAAAAAAACAAAACAAACCCCACAAAACCCAGCACATAAGACCCAAATAAGTCCAACAAGGTGATCGTAACCCACTATTTGCACAGGTGGCCATCAGCCAGCCAGTCTATTGAGGAGCTTTGCAGCACTCAGCAGCTTCACCTAACAGCTTAAACAGGACTGGAATCACTTAATTAGACCTCGCCCAACCTGACACAGGCCTGTCCAGTGCTCGTAGGTACCTCTCCCCCCCAATCAGCCCCCTCCAAGCTCCACACTCCAGACGCCACAGAGTCTATCCAGCCCTGCAGCTACTCAGACAGATCAACCATCTGACAGTCACAGGACAGCCCATACCTAGCCTCACCAGGTAGCCACCGGTCTTGGCCACACTAACAGAGCTCCATTCCCCAGCACCTTGTAGCTGAGGGAGGCCTATCAGCCACAGCCAGGAGCCACAAAAGAGGTAGTACCAACATCCAAAGGCACCAGCACCAGCCATACTATCCAACCCAGTCAAACTGAAGTTCAACTAAGTTGGGAAAAAGTAGGCAGAGCCA